TAGAAGTTGGCAGCTTTTGAACGTGTTCTGTGTACATGGTGCAACTGAAGTTGCACTGTAGAATAGGTGAACTGTATGTATAAACTTTGAAATGCCTACTAATAATCTTTGAATTTGTTGGTGCTTTCTTGAGCTGAGATCCAGTTGGAAGGGTCCATCTGGATCATCAAGTCAAGCCCCTGTCTTGGGGGATCCCTAACAGAACCATATTTGAAATATTGTTTGGTTCATCTGAAAGCTTGGGCAACTCTGCTGTGGGGACAGAATTCCATCATTCCTACAATAACATTCTGGTTGGCTATGAATTTTTACTGTCTCATTAAAGGGTACCCTTGATACTCGTTTTATCTTATTAATTAGGAGATTGGCAGCAAATGCTGGAGCTGATTCAAGCTTACAGCTTGAAAAAACATAGAGTTCATCTCTGTGCATAGAGACCATCATCCCTAAGTCAATCCCCAGGGCCCAGCTCAGATTAGCCCTTACATAGTGCCTTTGCCAACAGATATTGGGATTCCTAAATGTCTGATAATTAAAGGTATCTAATCCCCTCTGGTTACTGATCCAGTTCATACTTCCTGCTTTACTCCAGGCAGCCTCCTTCTTCTTAATGTTTGGGATGGTGGATCTGGGTCTGATCAAGACTGGGATAGGATTACTCCTATTGGTATTCTTCTTTGTAAACTCTTGCCAAACTTCTATTGTTTCAGAATCCTTCATTCATCTGGGCTGTTAGCAATAAGCTTTTCCCTGCCCCTCTTGCTCCTTCTGATATTTATTTCCATCTCACTTTTGGACATGACCAACAACTGGGGGGGGTGTCTCTCCCCTCTTTTCCGTTAATTCCTCTGACACTGGGATTTGTCTCCCATCTCACTTTTGTCTTTAATTTCTTATGCTGCAAGTTAGTTCTACCTTGTTTGGGCCTTGTGATAATCCCCTTAGGTTCTAACAGTTTACATAAAGGTTTGAAGTTCATCCTCCTACTCTTGATGTCCTGGTGTTTGCTGGCCTTCTTCCTTTTATCTGTCTTGAGTATAGACTTTCCCTTCCCTATAGTCAAAGGAAGTAGCTCTTTATGTAGGGTGGAGGCTTTCTTTTTATCTTGTGCACTTGACCCACCAATGTGTGCATCCTCAGTTCTATTTACAGGTACCTTTTTCTTTGTCGAAGTATAATCAGCAACATCCACTTCAACATCAGCAGTTGGTGGGTCAGGGGAGAAGAAATTATTTTACCAGTAGTCAACGGACCTGTAAACAAAAGTAACTCTTCCAATGTTAGTCCAGCAATTTTATCTATAGTCTTTGGGGACAGATTATAAACTCCACTTTGTCTGTTGGATGTGGTTGACTGCCTTTCACTTCCTGCCTCCCTGGTTGCTGAGTCGTCAGCTTAGGGTTTTTTCATTTCCAATAAATATCCTAACATGACCATGAGTTCTTTAATATCCTTTAAAATATCTCTAATTTCATCAATAGAATTCCATTTTAGCCAAAAGCCATCGTCCCTGGTACAAAGAGGGTTTCCGTAATTAGTAAACACTGCAGGGGCATCACTTCGGGAGTTACAGTGCATCTTAGTCTCATTATCACAAAATCCTCATGTGGAACCTCAGGAAAATATGAAGCTTCCATTTTCCTTAGTACAGTGGTACCTCGCAAGACGATTACCCTGCAAAACGACAACGAGGTTTTGCGACCGCCATTGCGCTTTGCAAAACAGTATTTCCTATAGGGGAATTTCGCTATACAACGTTTCGGTCCGTGCTTCGCCAGACACTTTTTTTAAAAGAGGCTTTCCTCTCCAGAACACCCTCTTCTTTTCGGGCAGCTTAGCAGGAGAGTTGTGGTGTGGAGCACTGCCGATAATCGTTGTGCCTACTCGTGAGCAAGTGGTGTTTTGCAGAAAAATGAACGTGGCGGAGCATCGACCTACAGGAGCGGAGGGGCAACGGCTTCCTCCCTGGGCTAAGTCATTCCGATTTGTGGGCATATCGAGGCCATTTTCTGCAGTGGGGAGAAGCATGCTGCCCCGACTTCCTAGGTTTTAGATTTTGGTGCGTAATTTCACTCCAGGCTTCTCTTTAAATTGCGGGTGGCAAGGGAGGAAAGCCCCGTGGTGTTTTAACGCTGCTGGGCAGCTCCTGAGTTAGTGGGGGTCTTTTCCTTTGCTTGGGGGGGCCTGCTTTGCCTCTCTCACTGCCTATCAGCTACTCTGCTCCACTCATTTCGTTACAACCACTCACACCCCGCCCGTCTGCTGCTTTTTGCTTATTAGCTTTGGGTTTCCCTTGCCTTTTTGCTGCGGCAGCAGCAGCTTTTTGTTGGTAGTTTTTTTCGTTAGCGTGGTCCCCAGTTTCTCCTGCTTGGTCTCCCTTGCAGTGGTAGCAGCCGCTTTTCACTGTGACCTAGGTTGTTGGACAATTCTAACAGCTGATCGGCGGATCCGCAAAATGGCTTCCCTGGGTGTTTTCCGACCGATGCTCCGCAAGACAGTGATTTAAAATGGCTTCTCTATGGGCGATATTCGCACAACTACGTCTATTTTCCCCATTGGAATGCATTAAACGGGTTTCAATGCATTCCAATGGGGAAATGCTTTTCGCAAGACAATCATTTTGCTAAACAGCGATTTCAGTGGAATGCATTATCATCGTCTTGCGGGGCACCACTGTATACCTAAGTCAACGTCCAGACTATTATCTAAATAGTTGTAGTCCAAAATTTGGTGATTCTCTGTAACGTTATCTGGTAAATCTATAAGAGCTATTTCTTGCATTCCAGAGGGTATCCCCTTCCTGTGTTCCACCCTAAATGTGGCAGATTCCCCCATTTGGATGTAATCAGTTATCATGTCCTGCCTCATCTTGCTCATTGTTCTGCTGTAGTCTTTTACCAGATCTTGGGATTTATCCTGCACCCTAGATTTCATATGACACCTAGGGAAAGTGAAGGGAGACAGAATGGTTCCTGATTTGCACTCTGTAGCCTGGGGGGAAGCTAACATTTGCTTTCCGCTGCTGGTTTCTGTAAAGTCCGAAGAGGGGGTAATAGCTATTGACATTTCCCTCTGAAACTGCTGTAACATTGGAGTAGACAAAGTAATATCCAGAGTTTCTTCCTTGTCACTGGGATCGGGGTTGACATTCCAAGTGCCAGGTCAGATCCACAGTTCCCTATCAGCTATTAGATATTTGAACCACTGTCCTTACCCTCAGAGTAGATGCCTTTATCTTTGAATACTTAAAATACTCACTGCTGGGTTCATGTCTCTGTGACTGGATCCTCCTACCTCATTTCTCACTCAGAGCCACTTTTTCTCTCCTCACTTCAGCAGCTCAGTAACTCAGCAAACTCATCAAAGATCACGGAGTACTCATGGAGTGCTTCCCAGGCTCTTCTCTTTGGTAAACCACCACAGCAGAAGGCTGATAACGGTAGCAGGAGCCATGAGGAAGGCTGAGTCCTGGTAGTGAGCTGTTTATCTTCTGTATACTGTATATACAAATATATATATTCGTAACTCCTCCAGACATTCTAACACTCCATCCCTGGGTAAGAGATAGCTTTCTCAATGGGATCTCAACCTGGTCAGCAAAGTCAGAAAAGAAAATGTTGCTAAAATCTGTGAATGAAAGCTGGTGGAACACAAGATCAAATTTTAAAATACAGCATTTATTTGGGTTTCAAATGTAGATAAATGTAATTTAAAAGAAGCACAATTGTATTGTGGAGTTCTTTCAAAGTATCTATCATACTGAAATCACAGATAGGATCCAGAAGTTGTACCTTTTCTAAGCTTGAGATCCTGCCTTACAACTGTTGCTTGGTACTTTATTTTCTTGGAAACAATCTATAGTAGTGATAGATAGGGGGCAAGGATGAGGTTCTGATATAACATATACGAAGTACTGGCTTTACAATTTAAGATAACACATGCTATTTGATTCACATGTACTTACACAAGTAATCATATCTTGTACCTGTAATTGAAATATGATTTCACTATTTCCTTACTATAATGATATTCTATATGCATTTTTCTATCTGTATTTATATGTATTCTCTATAGCCAATGTATTTCATATCCTCATTTCTCTCTTGGTGCTCCTGACCCATCCCACTTGGCACTCACATTATCACACAGATAACATTCACAGCGCTTCAGCTAAAAGACTGTAACGTGTTTCTAACTACACAATGATTCACTCAAATTCACAAACTTGGCAGCCGCTAACCCTGGGATGCAACTTGGATATTTTTCTCACATCTACCACGGCCAATAGGATGACCCAATAGAGTTCAGGAGGCCAATGAGGGGATGCTGTGCTTTGTTGTCCTTTGTAAGAAGCTTATAAAATGCTTTACCAATGTATGATGAGGACCTCCGATCCGCCTTTAGGACAAGGTCAAGTTCTATGTTTAATAAATTGGCTTACATAGACTGAATATGCACTGTCTTTTATCTGTTTTTCTTGCCGGAGAATTGAAACCTAAAATTGGATCGTAACAGTAGATTAGTACCAAATTTCTTCTGTTTCGGCATGCAACATAATATTCAGAACACATGGAGAATCCTCCCCACACACACACTGTAATGTTTGATAGAGGTCTTCAGCAGCTGAGAATGTCATAATCCATTAATAATTTCATAACATAGATAATTCTTTGGATTTTCTCCTACCTAAAATTTCTAAACTGGTGTATGTCAAAGATTTATCTGACTACAATTTATTTGTTTGTTTGTTTGTTTGTTTGTTTGTTTATTTATTTATTTATTTATTTATTTATTTATTTATTTATTTTTGATACCCCGTCCATCTGGCCTAAAAGGCCACTCTAGGTGGCTAGTGTAGGAGAGCCTGGTGCTTTCAGAGGTGACCTGCATCACCCCCAGGTAATCAAAAGTACAAGTCAAGTCTGTACACAGATGAGGTTCCCTCAATTTCCTGTGTGTACGTAATACAGTAGTCTTTATGTTTCACCTTTCTAATGTAGGAAGCACTGAAGGACAACCACAAGAGAAGAGAAATGGAGGAGAAGATTAAGAGAGCCAAGCTTGCAAAAGAGAAAGCAGAACGTGAGAAACTGGAGCGCCAACAGAAGAAAAAGCAATTGATTGACATGAATAAAGGTGAGGCAACATTTGCAGTAACGATAAAGGTAGTATCTTAACTAGTCAAGGTCAGCTCTCAATAGTTTAAAACAAAATTAATTGTTTCATAGACCAAAACATTTTCATGTTCTTTTAATGGTCGATAGAGCCAAACGGCACACCCTTAGTTTTGAGTTATTAGCTGTAATCCAGAAGCAAGTCACAACTAAAGTAGGCAGTGGGGATTTGTTGGGTTAACTCCTGCATAGGTTTCAGTAAGCCTACTCTAGTTGCAACTTACTACTGCATTTCAACAATTGAGTTTTATATGGTTGGTATAATAATGCCTTTAATATAAACAGGAATTCTTAAATTAATTTATGTGTGTTAATAGATTTTGGTGCTATTTTATTATTCTTTTAAGCCTCACCACTATAAAGAGTGTGGCGGTTAACATCTTTCTTCTGCAGCTTGGAGGCGCCTGAGTACGAATATATTTTTTCTCAACATTACTCATTTTATGAGCAACAAAATCTGGTTCAACTGTGAGACTCATTACAGATTGATGATTCTATATGATAAAGAAAGCCATATGTTTAGCCTGCTGGTTAGCTGAAGTGACATATATTGTGTGTGCAGGCATTCAGTAAGAGGGGACACAAGAAGAAGGAAAGATCCAATAGGCCACTAATATCTAGGCTTTGCAGAGCTCCAGAAGTCTGTTGAAATGTGTTCTTTATTCTCAAACTCTTTGGATTCCCAAAACAGAGAAAATAGATTATACAAGTGTGCTTTAGATTGCATGAGACATTACCTCACCCTGCAGGCTTCTGCTCTTCCTTCTCTGTTCATTTAAGTTCTGTTGTGAGGCCGAGCTTTAACCATCCCAATCATAACACATATACGGATACTCCCGGTGAGACAGTGGCTTGTCTTTTCTATCTAGTGAGCATTCTGCAGCCAATATTACAATGTTTCTTTCTTGACAAATATTATGTAAGATGCCAAGGTGTGTTATTTTTATACCATAAATAAGCCATATTATTATGATGAATTGAGAAAGCAGGATCGTTCAGAACCTAACCTATTAAGTGTGTCTTAAAATAAAAGCTTTGCACATGATTATTAGTATTACTATTTTATAGGGAGACAATATCCTGGATTTATAATACAACATAATATTGTTCAAAGTAAATTAACACTTCAGTTTCATTTCTTTAAGATATGTACAATCATGGCCAAAAATATTGGCACCCTTGCAGTTCTGTCAGAAAATGCAACCCTTCTCTCAGAAAATTGTTGCAGTTGCATTTTCTGACGGAATTGCAAGGGTGCCAATATTTTTGGCCACGACTGTAGCTGCGTATGTCGCCATTCTATGCCCGTTTTTTTGTTTATTTGCTTGTTTGCTTTTTTGTTTGATGCTCTTCAGCATAGCATGGCCTCCCACGGCTTTTTCAGCTGTGAGGACATTTTGATACATCCTGTGTTTTCTCTTGAGCTTTCACTAGAAAGAAGCTCTTTGATGATACTGCATGACCAAACTTGATTCCATTTGAAGAATCATCCCTTAACAGGTTCAGGCCCTTCCCATTCTGATCTCAGCTCAAAAAAGTACCAACTCTTCTCCCACTCTCCCTCTCCCTCCCGCTGTGTCAGGTGATCCTTTCTGAAATGTGCATGTTTAAAAAATGCCTCAGTTATCCATGCATAAATACCATCCTTTATATTACATAATAATTGCAGCAGGTTCTGTTCAAGATATATTTTTTATGTTTAATTCTTACATTCATATCCTGTCTCATTTGTAAACAATGAGGAATGTTCTCTTTTTTGTAAGAAGTCTGTGCCCTTTCATAATCATAGTTACATACTAGGTCAGAATTAATAAACTAAAAAAGATGAGTACATATTTTCCTCTTTCCCACTTTAGCACCCTGGAAGGGCTTCTTTTTATTACTTCAAACACCTCTAGGACGTTTTTAGATATGTTTGACATTGTGCGTACTATAAGAGCAAAAACATTAAAAACATAGAATCTTTTTGTAATAGCAACTTCTGCAATAGTGATTTTGATGCCAATTTTTAATCAAAATTGTTTCAGTCTTCTTTATAGCTGATTACTATGTCATTTAAAATAACCTGTTAACTAGTGGCACAAGGCTAAAGGAAAGAATGAACTGACTCAGTCACATTTATTATTGAATTCGTTGTTAACATTTCCAATAGATAACACTAATACAGTGAGGTTCATTCTTGGGAGTTTGACAGCTAACTCAGTGTCAAGATATTTCAGTTCTGAAAGCAGATTAACATGCATCCAAATACCTGGATCAAAGTCACTTAATAAGCTCATATCTATTAATATTCAGAATTATGTTATTGTTAATACCTCCATTGTACATCATACAAGGAATATAATTCTGCCATTATACAGTCTCGTGCAAAGAGTCCCAGTATCTGCTAAATTTTTAAGTCAATATTATCTTCAGTTTACAGGTATATACAAGTGACACAGACCATTCCTTCAAAACTGGAATGTATGCAGTACAATTATCACAGCACCCAATGTTCAGCTAGTGCAGATTTTTCTGGTTGTTTTAGTCTGCAGTATCTCTCATGTTCTTTGATTTTGGTGTGGATGCTTCATTTTGTGGTTCCAATATATACCTGGCCACAACTGCAAGGTATCCAGTATACTCCTGCAGTGGTGAGGTGGTCCCTTCAGTCCTTCGCGAATGCATTCAGGGGGCGGTTTGCTAAGGAAAGTTTGGAACTCTTTTTTCCTGCTAGCAATACAGATATAATATTGTGTAGCAGTTTCAGGCCATTTCTTGACATTTTTTAATGGTGGACACAGAAGTAGAATATTCCACATTCATGAACCAGAGGGATTTTTAGGAATTGAATTTCTTAGCTTTTTAAAACAGAAGTTTGAGTACATAAACTCCAACAGCACCTTTTCTCATATAGAATTACTGAGTGCTAGAGGATTTGAGAAGATGATCACATGATCTGTAATGCTGCTGAGGGAGGCCAGAACCAGGAATAGCTGGGATGTGGTTGCAGTTCCTCTATGCCAAAATATTTTGAATGCCTGTTTTGGACTTAATGAAGTGTTGACTCAAAAGTGTGAGTGAGTGTAACACATAACACAGAGAAACATACCCTTACCCTCTTAGGTAAACTAATGTTATTATGCCTGCTCCACAGAATGCAGACTAGAAAGCTACCTTCCAATTTCCAAACTAACATGCCTGCATGTTTTCCAGAAGATGTCCCCTTGCCCTTTTAAATAATAATTAAAAGGGGAGGGTTTGGAGTTAGGAAAGATTGTCAGTTAAAACCAAGGTCAAAATCATCATACTGTGTCCCATACAATAATACCACCTGTAATGGCTGTAAAATGAATGCTTTAGAAAGTACTTCCCAAAGCATCTGTATACTATCCTTGGCATATAAATAGCCAGATAGCAAGGAGCCATTGGAGATTCCCAGAGGTTCCTCGGGGAAAAATTCCAGCCACTCGTTAACAGCTTACATGAAGAGCACTGTGTCTTAGCTCTTTTCAACAAGAGGCCATGTCTCTTGCCACACAGAAATGCTATCTGCATAGCATGCAACATATTGTGCTGCAATAAACATGTTAGCAGCATTGACCCTGAGACACCATGCTTGACTTCATTCAGCTCGTTCATCAGAGGACTCAAGGGCCAGGATCAAGGACTTTCCTTTTGGTGGGGAAGGTCTATTCAATTAAAACAATGGAAACATAATGGAAAACTAGGACAAAAAGAAAAATGCTGCCAAAAGAATGGGTTTCTACACACCATACCAGCAAAGACAATACTGACCATCCTGGAATTGGCCCTGCTCATATATATCATCTCTGACTGGCAAATACTTTCATTATATTTCATTATCTTAGAACTGCAGGCACTGACCTCACAGTATTATATCCAGACATCAAAAGAAAAAGGTCAAATAGCACCTTTGACTGCTTATATACTGACATCCACTTGCTACTGGCTGCCACCACATAGGACAACATTACACTACTAGTTTCACCTCGTGCACTGTCACCAATAATGAATGGGTACTAACCACCATCAAATATGGCTATGGATTTATCTCTTCCCCCCCCCAACAGGTACCTTCAGGCCTACATCACTATCTCAAGTGTTGCTGGAAGAAATACCTACATTAGAAAAAAAAAAGGCTTCTATGCAGTCTGTTCCTCTCAAACTACTTCCCAACACTTTTGTCATTTCATGGTTCCAGAGATGGTGGTGATGTAAGACTAACTGTAGAACTGAGAGATGTAAATTCCTAGACACTAAGAAGTTCAGAATGAACGTTAGAAACAATATTATCATTCCTCAGAAAAGGGGACTAATTGGCTGTGATTGATTAATCTCAATGTTCATGTGAATCTAGAAAAATCAAATTTAAACCCACATTAGAAAGTTCATTATAGTGGTGCACTGGTGGACTCCACAAAAACAAGAACCTAAATGCCTCTAGAAAGAATTGATAAAATTATAACCTTGACAAATAAAGTCAAACAAGGTGATAGAATCCTTATGGCACAATCATTTATTTATTTATTTATTCATTCATTCATTCATTCATTTGGTTTCATAATGTCGACAACAACAGTGATCCTGCACACCAGCTTAAAAAATGAGCTCTCTTCAGCCCTGGCACCAGGCCTCCTTCAACATGGTACCAAACAGCAACTCTGAAACTGCTGGTTGTAATTCCTCTTAGTTCAGCAATTCTTATTGTGAATAAACAAATCCAATTTAACCATAGAAAGATCATTCAAACATCTCAGGTCCAAGCTTTAAGTGACAACACATGCAAGCTGGGCAGGATAGGCAGCATATTGCAGGCAATGACAAATACATGTGTTTCTTTCTTAGAAAGAGAGAAGCTTGCATATAAATGAATATTTATTTATTTATTTATTTATTTATTTATTTATTTATTTATTTATTTATTTATTTATTTATTTATTTGCCGCCCATCTAGACATG